GAGGAGGAGGAGGAGAATAGGAAAAAATTCAGAGCAGATGAAAAAAAAAACAAGGAATGGAATGAAGAGATTGGGACAGATGCTCTTTATAGAAAAAAAGTTAACATGTGTAAGAAGAGCAGAACAACCATTTTAAAAAATATTTTATTTTATGTGTATGCGTGTATGTGTGTAAGTGCACCCATGCATGTAAGTGCACTGTGTTATGCAATGTGCATGGAGGTCAGAAGAGGGTGTCAGATCCCCCGGAACTGGAGTTACAGACAGCTGTTAGCTGCCATGTGGGTGCTGGGATTCAAACCCAGGTCTTCTGCAAGAACAGTCAGTGTTATTAACTGCTGAGCCATCTCTTTACTCCCAGAACAACCATTTTATAGGCTGAAATCGACTGATTCAGCTAGAGATCACCAGTTGAAGTAAAATCATTGTGTAAGTAATTGTTGGGGAGAAAATATTCACGTGGAGTCACAGTTGGGCCCTGCATGTTAGTTTTTTACTATGAAATTTTCACTTTGACAATAGAGACTTATTAGATCTTAAACAAATGACAGGACTTAGTTTCACCAAAAGTGGGACAAACTGACATCATTTCCTTTCTGATGCAATGCAGTACTTTCCACTGATGTCACTAAGAGATGATCTATTTTGAATATAATCACTAGGAAACCATGAGATAAATCAAGAATGTGGGGCCTTGAGCCAGCATGTTGTCTAGGACTCTTCAAAAAGTAAATGTAACTGGAAAAAAATGGAAAGAAGGTAGCTAATCTAAACTTAAAAAGACTGAAGAGTTTTGTCAACTAAATGTAGTGCATAAATATTGATGAGATTCAGGATTTAAAAGGGTTAGAGAAGAAATGTAGGGCCAATGGGGATGTAAATATAAATACTATGTTAGATATTTTACTGAATTTGACTTAATCTCCTTAGGTGTGATAGTGATACTAAGATTTTGCAAAAGAATGTTTTGGTTTAGAGGATATGCATGTTGAACTATTTAGGAATGAGAGAACTGCAATTTATTTTTAAATGATTCCAAGAAAATTACCAGCATACATATATATGATAGAATGAGAAAAATGGGACAATATATTAAAATTATAAAGTACTATAATTATTCGTTGTACCATTCCTCTAACTTGTCCTAGATTTGCAGTCTTTCAGTATAAAAAAGCTACTGAGAAAGTTTTATTCTGTTTAGAAACATTGTTTTCATGCTTCAAGAATATGTGTTTTGCCAGAAGTAGTGGTTCACATCTGTAATCTCACCTAATCAGAAGGCTAAGGCAGAATGATGCCAAGTTTGAGGCCTGTCTGAGCTACATAGGAAGACTCTGCCTCATAAAAATTAGGGAAAATTTAGTCCCTCAGAGTTCCAAGATTTAAAAAATCTGAATGTAGTTAGGAGTTACACATACCTGTAATCTCAGCACTCAGAAGCCTAAGGCAGGAGAATTAAGAGTTCAAGACTACCCTGGGCTACATACGGATATCTTGTCTCAGAAAAAACATAAAAATAAAAGAAGTGAAAGAGATATTACTATAAACTACTTCACATATGTAATTCTAGTTAACATTAGTATTTTAAAAGTTCCCTGCACAGTACATGTTCTGTAGGTATTTGATACATAAAAGTTATATGTATGCCTAAGTGCTTTGTACTCACCCTTCCTACTCTGAGAACTAAAAGAGATCTGACAGCTCCAAACCACATCAGTTCAATGACCGCCTCCCCTCAGAGGTGCTGTCCTCTGTTGTCAGCACCTTCTGCCCTGCCCATGTCTGCCCTTCTGTTGTATGAGCACGTCAGCCATGACAACCAGAGTCATGGATCACTAGTCTCACACAGTTCATGAAGGTGGGTGCTGAATTGACCGACCTATGATCTGTGAGCATCAAAGGCCCTCCCCACAGTGTCTGTCTCTAGGAGTACTACCATTTCGTCTTCTAATCCTGTCTGGTTAAGATAGGACTAGTCTGAGACAACACTGCTCAGGAGCCAATTCTACTTTCCACATTCAGTTGAAAGTCCAGTGTCTACTTGGCTTCTTTTTTTTCTCCCTGCTCCGGCTCCTGTAACATGTTTGAAATAAGACTGCAATAAATACAGCAATAATGAGATGTAAATTTCAGCTAGTTTGACAAAACACTCTCTTTGAAATACTTATCGCTTAACTGGCTGACAAACTTCAATCCAAATAAACAAAGCTATAAGGGTGGAATTTCTGAAGTAACAGATAAGCGCCAAGAAATTTGATAGGACAGAGAGACCTTCCCAGTTCCTCCTAAGCCATACTAACACTGTGACCAGGCTTCTCCATAAGCAAATTAATTATTGCTAATGTTCACATTTTTTTGTCTTTCCAGGGAACTTACAGAGGTCATTGATCTTTCTAGATTTAAAAAATTAAAATATTTATGGCTTCATCATAATAAGGTAATGTTATATTTTACCTTCAAATTACTTAAATGTCTTAATTTAATGTTCTGTTAGAGCTAATATTTAAAAAGAATTATTTGGAGTGATTACAATTTAAACTCAGATAAGAAACTTGTCTGTTATGTCCATAGATATTAGAATCTATACAGCAGATATCATACATCTGGTAGGTTATAGGACAATACGTGAGATTCTATCAGACTACAGTTTTGTTCCTGCTTCCAAGTTTTGTGAAAACTGTTCAGTGGAGACTATTCCTTCCAAAACTTCTTGAAGAAACTTTGGACAGTAGCATCATTCCTTTCCTAGTATTATAAATGCAACAATCCATGTAGTCATTGCCTCCTTCCACTAGGTCTCACCTCCTAAAGCCTCCATCACCTTTATTACTACCACAGGCTGGCAACCCAGCCCTTAACGCATGAGACTTCTAAATTCATAAATAGAAACATATTTATTATATGCTACTCTTTCTTTACAAATGAGAGACAGACGGACGGACAGACAGACAGAAAGACAGACACACACACACACACACACACACACACACACACTCTGCCCCAGTTAGGCCTGACCACAGGGGGGCATCTGCCTTCTTTATTAACAAGGGAGATGTGGTTGAGTATTTTCCTAACTCCCCACCTTCACTCTAGCCCTCTCTGGGTTTGGTATGGTGGCCAAGGTCTCTACCCACTAAGCCATCTCACCAGTCAGGTTTGGTATGGGATGGGGTGGAGGTACAGGAAAGACAAGTGAGAAAGGAGTTCTTCGCTTTGTACCCACTAGTACTATGAGGTATTCCAGGCTGGCTCTTGACTGTGGATTATTCAAAAGCTTCCCTGCTAGGTGTCTTGTGATACTTTACATCTGCAATGACCCTCAAAGTCTCATGTGTTAAGGGCTTGGCTGTACACTGTGGTGCTAATAAAGGTGATGGAGGTTTTAGAGATGGGGCCCAGTAGAAGGAAGTGATGTCACTGAGGGTGTATTGGAACTATGGCTCTTCCTGGGCACAATGGGAAAGCTTAAATACCTCTTCTGTATTGACTCCTTTCCTACTATTCCTGACCTCATCACACCTTTAACCAAATGTTACTTACAACTTAGGCTCTCTGGGCCTTGGTCATCCCTTGTAAAGCCTCACTCAGATCGGCATTGTTTTGTTTTGGTCTCCCTGTAGCCCCAGCTGGCCTAGCACTCGCTATGGAGACCAGACTGGCCTCGATTTCACGGAGATCTACCTGCCTCTGCCTCCTGAGTACTGGGATTAAAGGTGTGCTCCACCATGCCCAGCCATCAACATTTTTTTTGTACTATGGCATTTTAAACTGTTTATTAGTTTATGGCAACTGCACACAATTATAGGTTTATAGTAACATTTTCATACTTGCACATAACATTTTTTGATCATATTCACCACTCCCTGTTGTCCCCTCTGAGTCTACCTTTCCTGGTCCTTCTCCTCATCCCAGTAGTCCTCCTTGCAGTCTGATGTCTTTCTTTTTTAATCTGTAATCCATATATGAGAAAAATCATGTACTATCTATTCAGAATTTCTGGTGTGACTTATTTCACTTAACATGTTGAGATCGTGTTCTCTCCATTTTTCTGCAAACAATATGATTTTGTTCATCTTATGACTGACTAATACACAATTGTACATATAGAACACATTTTAATCATCCATTCATCTGTGGGTAATAGTGTCATGATAAATACGTCTATGCGGGTATCACTATTGCATGCTGTCTTTCATCCTTTGATTAATACACCTAGGGAAGCTATGGCTGAATCATATAGTAACTATTTATTATTTTTAGGGGTCTTTGTTTTTGTTTCTTTATATCTATTTGTTTTTCTTTTTTGAGTCAGAGTCTCACTATGCAGCGCTGGCTGACCTGTAGCTCCCTATGTACAGGAGGCTGGCCTAGAACTCTCAGAGGTCTACCTACTTCTGCTTCCTGAGCCCCAGGATTACAGGCATGTGCCACCACGCCCCTCTGCTTTTTAAATTATTACATTTTTTGTAAATTTGGTGTGGGAGGAGGGCACACACGTACCATGATACACATGTGAAAGTCAGAAGATAACTTGGAGTACTTGGTTCTCTGTATACGGGGCCTAGGGTTCGAACTTAGGTCACCAGACTTGCTGATAATCACCTTTCCCCCACTGAGCCATCTTGCTAGCCTTGCTTTGTTTTGAGACAAGGTCTCGTGTAGCCCAGGCTGATCTCAAACTCATTATTTAGCTGAGGATGATCTTAAACTCTTTTAATCCACCTTCCTCCTTTACGTCCCAAGTGCTGAGATTATAGGCAAATGCCCCCACACTCAGCTTTATGCAGTGCTGGGTACTGAACCCAGGGCTTTGTGCCCTCTTAATAGTACTCAACCATCTGAACAACATCTCCAGCCCTCTTTTAGTTTTTTTTTTTTTTAATTTTATGTGTACGAGTGTTTTGCCTACATGTATGTAATGACACTTGGTGTGTCATTGCCCACAGAGGCCAGAAGAACATGTTGGATCCCCTGGAACTGGAGTTACAGATGATTGTTAGCCACCATGTGAGTGTTGCAAACTGAACCTGGGTCCTCTGCAAGAGCAGCCAGTGCTCTTAACTGCTGAGTCATTTCTGTAGCTCTGTTGAACTTTTGTTCCCTAAGTTTATTAGTCATTTGTTTTTCTTTTGAGCATTCATTGATTAGATCGTTTATTCTTTTAGTTCTTTCAGTTCTTTTTATTTTGCACATTAATTCTCTGCTAGCTGGCTAGCTGGCAAGGATTTTTGCCCACTCTGTAGACAGTCTCTTCACTCTGGTAATTGTTTCTTTTATTGCATAGAAGCCTATTTATTTCAAGTAACCCTATGTGTAAATTTCTGCTAATATTTATGAACTATTAGAGTCCAATTCAGAAATTTTTTACATATGCCCCTACCTTGAAATATTTTCCCTGGATTTTCCTCCAGTAGCTTCAAAGTTTCAGGTTATACATTAAGAACTTGGGCCAGATCAGCTTTCTTACAGTGGACTCATACCTAAGTCCCAGGTCTCTGTCCTTTAGCCAGAGACCAAAGATATCCATGAGCCCAGTTGCCAGTGAAAACAATTGGACTTCTTCAGGAAGCATCAGGCACGACATTAGCACGTCCCCAGCTTCAGGGACTTGGTCTCTGGGTCAGAGTATGACATATAAAACTTCCTTTAGAGGCTGTGATTTAGAAGGGAGTACATTCCCACCCTGTCCCTCACAGTAATGACCTAGGTGTGGTGTTCCCAGCTCTTTCCGAACAAAAGAGCGAGAATCAACTAACAGTCAAACTCGGACAATCATTATAGTTAGCTAATCAAAAAATCAGTTTTGACTTAAAAATGTGGCTTTCCAACAGTCTCTATTTTGTTTATTATGCACTGATAACTCAATCTTAGCATTTTGAATGTAGATTTCCAAACAGCAGTAGACAAAAAAAGGATCATTTTTTTTTTTCCCCCAACAGTGATCTGGCCTCTGTGCAAAAGTCCCCATTCACAACATGGAATCTTTAAACAGTTATGTTTATGAAAACATTTCAGTATTTCCTTGCATTCTTTAACCAAGTGGAAAATGGAAAATAAAATTGCTCTCATTACTACCTATAAGCATAAGCCAGTCTCTTAATCTTGTAATTTCTAGGAGAAAAAAATATAAATTCCTTCAAGGCTCAGGCAACTAAAAACTGAAATGGAAAGTACACACACCACTTAAGGGTATTACGTTCAAAACTCTCCTAAACACCCTGCCAGAAATTATCCCGGGTCATAGCATGCGACCTCTGATTAGGAAAGGCTAGGAATCATCAGGCGCGCCAAAAGTGACTCATCTTTGCTTTCAGTGTGTGCTCGTGTGCTGTTCCATTTTGAAAGGAAGAACATGTGCAAATGTCAGCATTATGCCTAAGGGAAGAGTTGTAATTAGAGATTTGTGATATTTCTTGGCTTTCTGTGAGTGGATATTGTCCGATTCTGAATACTCATTGAATTTTCATAAAGTTGACCTACAGAGGCATTTTACACACAGGAAGAGATTGCATGCTTATTTTTCATATGTGTTTTTCTCTTTTTTTTTTTTTGAGACAGATCTCCCAGTAGCCCCAGCTAGCCTGGAACTCAATATGTAGACCAGGCTGGCCTTGATTTTATAGAGATCAAGGGATCTTATAGGGATTAAAGGCATCTGCCACCACACTTGGCAAGGATTGTCTGTTCCCAGCACTTGTGAGGCATAGGCAAGCTGCTCTCTTTGAGTTCAAGGTCAGCCCTGTTGACAAAGCAAGTTTCAGGCCAGCCAGGGTTACATAGTGAGATTGTGTCTCAAAAAAAAAAAAAAAAGTTCTAAGAAATGCTGAGATTTCAATACCCAAGCATAAATAACTTAATTTGCACACAAATATAGAATGTTCCAGAATTTCACCATGTTGTTTAATCACTGACCTGTAGGTCTTTGCTCTCAGAGTTTCTCAGCCTTGACGCTACTAATTTTCTAAGCTAGTAACGCCTGGTGGTGAAAGTTGTGCTCTTAGGATATTTAGCAACAACCATAGCTTCTATCCATTGGTGTCTAGAAAATCCACAGTGAAAACTACAACCAAAAATGTTTCCATGTTGTCAAGCACCCCCCAGGGCAGGGAAAGAAGTGTCCCCATAACTCAGAGGCACTCGTCTAGAAAATCCACAGTGAAAACTACAACCAAAAATGTTTCCATGTTGTCAAACACCCCCCGGGGCAGGGAAAGAAGTGTCCCCATAACTAAGAGGCACTCAATACAACAAAAAAAGAAAATTACTCTGTGGAAACTAAGTGAAAACAAGCCAGCTCTCTGCTCAAAACTCAGATGGCTCCCTGTTCCTTTCAGCCAAGTTCTCCTTGTAGCCTTCAAGGTCCTGCACAAGGAGGCCACTGCACACTCTGGGCCAGCCACCCCAGGTATCTTCCTGTCTCTCCACCTAGCCCTGGTT